GCCAGGCACAATGGTATCTTGAACCAGGCTGTTTGGAGCAGAGCCAGAGAAAAGAGAGGGCAGGCAAACGCAGATGTATTTTAGAAACAGAAATGAAATAAATTGCTAATAATTTGGGTATGACATGGAATGGAGAAAATGGAAGGATTATTCCAGGTTTTTAGCCTGCATGCATGACTAAGTGGTGGCACTATTCATTTAGACAGAAAAAACTGACATAATCAGGTTGAGGAAGGTGGTGGCAGAGAGATCAGGATTGACATATGGTAATTTAGCAATTCACAGAAGCCTCTAGATATACAAGAAACAAGTTTGGGTTGAAAATACGAATGTTGGCGTCATCAGCAAAGAAATGGCACCTGGAGTCAAGGGAAGAAATGAAATCCTCTAGATAGAGAATTGAGAAGAATAAAAGTAGAGCCAGCACTGAGCCCTGGAGAACTTAACCCTGGAGAAGGAGAAAGCTGCCAAGGAGACCGGGAAGAAAATGGTTAACGGGGAAAAGGGAAAGGAGGAAAGCCAACGGTGTGCCACCTTGGTGCAAAAACCAAGAAAGAAAAGGGTTTTAAGAAAGTCAAGTGTGTCGAATGCTGCCGAGGTTGAACAGGATGAAGACAGAACATCGGTGGATTTGGCAAGACAAGAACCCATCCGAGGCATCTCAAAATTAACCTGTGGAAAACTGAACTTGAACTTTTCCCCTGGAGAGGCTCAGTGTGTACCTCTTGGAGAAAAGTGTTCCTTTTCAGTTCCTCAGGCCAAAATCTTGGTGTCACCCATGACTCCTCTTTCTTTCAGTTCCTGCCTCCAACCCACCAGCAAATCCTGTTGGCTCTAGCTTCAAAATACACCCACAATCTGCCCATGTCTCGCTACCTCTCTACCTATCGTGCTAGTATATCTCCCCCCCGGATTATTGTAGAAGCCTCCTAAATGAGCTCCCCCATTCCAGTCCTCTCTCCCCACAGGATGATTTTCAATACAGCAGCTGGAGTGATCCTTTTCAAGGATATGTACTCAGAGGACAAGCCGAAGACCCTGTGAGGAGCTCTGTCCCCACGCACCCAGCCTCTACCCTCCCCTTCCTGCCGTCACCCAGGCTCCTTCCAACCATCCTCCCGAGTCTTGGGCTCCTGCCACACTAGCCTCTTTGCTTTTGCACGGGCAGCTCTCTGCCTGGGATGTCTTTCTCTACGTACCACACAGCTTACTCTCCAACTCTCAGAGCTTGGCTTCTCTTCCCAAGGAGGGGCCCCCTACCCCTATTTTAAGTTGTTTCCTCCAACCCCCTCCTCTGCTTTATATTTTTAGAGCACTTATAACCATTTGACTTATTATATATTTTACGTATCTGTTTGTTTAGGGACTGTATCTCTCCTGTCTTGCCAATCTTTGATGTTCATGTTTCTTTCCCCGGTATCTAAAACAGTGCCTGGCATTCAGGAAATACTTGTTGACCTGACAAATAAGGGGCAGGAACCATGGACGAGGAGAGAATGGGAGGTGGGGAAGCGCCATCAGTACGCGGTGAACAGATGCTGGGAAAGGCAGCAAAAAAAAAAAAAAAAACAACGGTACAATAGGGATATGAGATCAAAGGAGGGGCTAAGTTTTCTAATGGGATATATGGGTAATTTATACTGATCCTATATCCTCTACTAAAAGGCTAGCTTATAACCCTATGTTTGAGAGCTAATATATATCTTCACTAAGGAGATTAATCTGAGGATCATAAGATTAATTAATCAGAATAGACAATATAAGGGAAAATTATCTTCAATGTGCCATTTATTAGATAATAAACAGCCCTTCCTGCAAGGGACTTAGAGTCCAGTAATAGTCATCTAAAGTGTGATGATGATTCATTCAAAAATGATTTCACAGTAGTGCAATTATACATGTGAACACCTTTTTTTCTGAACTGGAATATTACCTGCTTGCAGGTAATAAATTCAAACTCAGGCAATAAATTCAAATCCTATCCCCAAGCTAAACAGAAGCTTAGAGAAGTTAAGTAATTTGCTGGCATTGAAACTCAGGTGTCTTTGCCAATAGTCTACGTTAAACATGTGTTAATATTCACACCAGAATACACGCTTTATGTCTATTCTTTCTATAAAAATCAGGAAAAAAAACACCCTTTTCTAACTTGGTCCTTCGTAATAAAATCCTACAATAAATGTTGGAAGGGATATAAAAGATACTACACATATGTGTCAGAAGCCTGGGAATTAGCAGGAATAAATGAGCAGAGACAAGGCAAATAAATGGATGGATTGAGACAATGCTACACTCACATAAATAAATATGAGATCACCTAACAAATTAAGTGCCAAGGTCCAGGACTGGGAAAAAGCCAGGCTTCTTATTTTGCTTCTTTTCTCCCCCAAAGTCTTTGGACTATTTTCTATTAGCTTTCATCCAAGCTGTAAAAGGCAGAATCCTAAAGTGACCCCCAGGATTGCCACCCTGCATAATCCTCTGCTTCTGAGTGTGGGTGAGACCTGTCAATATAATGGGGTATCAGTCCCTTGTTAAATGACAAAGGTGATGGGAATGGCCACTCCCATCATTACAATTAGGAGACTAGGGCGCCTGGGTGGCTCAGTTGGTTAAGCGACTGCCTTTGGCTCAGGTCATGATCCTGGAGTCCCAGGATCGAGTCCCGCATCAGGCTCCCTGCTCAGCAGGGAGTCTGCTTCTCCCTCTGACCCTCTTCCCTCTCGTGCTTTCTATCTCTCATTCTCTCTCTCTCTCAAATAAATAAATAAAATCTTTCAAAAAAAAAAAAAAGGAGACTAAAGGGATATTCTCCCTCTGGCTTTGAAGAAGCAAGCTGCCCTGTTGTGCTGGGGCCCTGTGGCTTACGACCTGGGGTAGCCTCTACAGCTGAGAGGGACCCTGGCTGACAACCAGCAAGAAAGGACTCCAGTCCTACAGCAGCAAGAAACTGAACTCTGCCAACAACCTTGATGAGTTTGAAAGGACCCCAAGCTCCTGCCAACACCTCGATTTCAGCCTGATGAGACTGAGCAGAGGGCCCAGTAAACCCAAGCCAGATGCCTGACCAAAAGAAACCGTGAGATAATAAATGGGCATTATGGCAAGATGCTAAATTTGTGGTAATTTGTTATAGCGTAATAGAAAACTAAAACACAAGCCAATCTTCATCCCTTACACAGACACTCTGAGAGGTGACCTAACATCGCCATGACCTCACATCATCCCAGGGGATCATAATAGAAACAGAATTTTTCATTCTGAATTGTCCTAATTGTCCTGCTCTTTCAAACTTCCTTGCCTTTTCCCTTGGTATTATTCCCTGCTGAATTCCAATTCAGGCTTCCAAACCCAAGTCAAATGTTGCTTCTCCAAAGAAGTATTTCCTTATAGCCATGCCCATCCACTCCCAAGCACAACAAATTACTCCTATTCTCTGCTTCCATGATAGCAGTTTGTCTGAACATCTCCCCAAAACCCTGCCATGCAGGTTGCATTGTGGTAATCTTTCTTTTAGAACACAGCTGCCCCAGTCCCTGCACCGGAGCTGGCGTGGAGTGGGTGCTAAATAAATGGATACCAAATAAAGAAAATGAGGCTCTGGAAAAACACAAGCCTCGCATGCCCAGGGAGCTGCTATTTCTCTTCCACACAGATGATCAGGCATCAGGTATTCACGGAAACTCGGAAAGCCTTCTCCATGACAACAGGTGGGTGGCTAATCAAGCACTTACTGCGCTAAAAGGGCAGATATTTACTGTCCCGAAAAAGCTGGTCTGAACTGGATAGGTGTGCTAGGAGCGACAGGTAGCAGTTGCCGGGAAGGACAGAGATTCTTCCTAAAGGGGTGACATGATTCGCTCTGATTTAAGCCCTGTGCTAGGTTTGCACGCTTGCCAATTCAAATTATCTGTTAATCCATTCCTGACATGCGATGCCAACCTGAATAGACAACAATCCCACAGAGTTAGTTTTACTCAATGGCTTGCAACCGTGGATAACAAGACAGAAATGAGAATCATTTTTTGCCCACATCCATGGCATTTACAGGCCTCCAGGGCAGATAGCATTTTTAGGAAATCACAGACTCAGGCAAAATGATGCATCATCAATCCATACAGAATAGCATTTGCTGGTTATGTATTTTGACAAAACTCAGAAAGAATTCATGTTTTTTCCTCGGAACCCCCTCACACGGGCAAAAGTCTGGAGTTCTCCCTTGTAGCTAACCTAAATTAACCATGCTACTGCTGTAGGATTCCCCATCACTGGAGAAAAAGATTGTTTCAGAATCAGAGAGGATACAAAGCAAGGCATGGAAATAAGGCACCTGCTTGTCACCAACTCATAAGAACTAGATTCAGATTCTCTCTATAGATAAATCATTAAACAACAAAGTACTGCTTTTTAATAAAAGTATTACAATGACATTGCCAGAAACTTCAAAAAATTCTGGGAGGCAATGGTCTTGCCACACTAAAAGAATTTAATTAGCATTTGTAATAATTAAAAATATTTCAAAAACGTTTTTTGACACAAACTCAATGTCAGTACCTCTTTCAGCTTCCTTTGCGTTTATACAACATCATCCCTAAGAATCAAGTCAGATCCTAAAGGTCCTGCATTTTAAGGATTTTTTACAAATACTGGTTGGCAATGACTCAAAGAGGGAGCCAGCTGGGGACACAATTTCCTAAAGATCAGTATGGGAGAAGATGTGGGGTCTGGGTTCTAATCTTTCTTTAGGGATAATGCCAGATGCTCCTTTATTCACTCAAATATTAATGTACCAGACTTTGTGCAAGGTGCTAGAGCTACAGCTGTGAGTTAGATAGATAAGGTCCCTGTTCTCTTGATACTTACATTCTTATGTGGAGGCATGCCATGTATATACCGTGAAGAATAAGAAATGGGAAACAGAGGGAGGAAATAAAGTTTCTTCAGCACATATTATTTTAAGTACTACTGGAAACTTCCAACTGGGAGAATACAGTAAATACCTTCGATGCTCTGTGGGCCCACAAGATTCATGGCCTGGTGTGCTGGATACTCTACCCGTGGTCTGGCAATGCCCAACTGCTCCATAACGCCATGGAGCAGCCTCTGGATATCTGTTTCCGAGACCCGGTCAGGGCTCCTTGGGCTATACGCAGATGTTGGAGTCCATCCAAATGTCAGCCAAAACACTAGGCCAGAGAGCATGGTAGAAACCATCACGGAGACCATTTTTCACCTGCAGAAAAAAGACCAAACATGTATCGATTGGTGACAATCAGCGACTGTGATGATCAATCACGCAAGTGAGTGATTCAAGGACCACCCACCCAATGGGGGCTGCAATGAAAAAGCCTTCGGAGTTTGCTCTTGCCTTAAGTGTCCAGTCTAGGTGGAACACCTGCTGTGGAATGGTATTAAAGAAATGAAACAACCCAAGATAGCCAATTCCCTCTGCACATGGCAGCCTTGGGAAGACTAGCCAGGAATGGCCGTTCTCACTCCTTTTCTTCTCCTTGCAGCTCCCTGAAAGTGCTTCATTACCCCTAACCCCACCACCCTCTCCTCTCTTAGCAAAGCAAGCAAACCAACAACAAGAACCAGCTTCAATTTAGAGAGAGGGAGAGGGTCATCGGGAGTTTTCCCAGTCTCGGGGGAAAAAAGAGGTCCCGAGGAAGGAGTCAGGAAGACACAAATGGTAAAGAAGCACAGAAAGGTTAGGAGCAGTGGAAGGGAACATCTTAGCTCAGCAGACATCCAGTACATGTGAGATCCTGAAGGGGATGAAAATACAGCCAGCTCAGGCCTGCCCTGCAATCTGGTAGGGGAGAAGAGGCAAGCTTGCTCAGCCACATACTGGCTGAGTGATCCTGGGCAAATGCCTCCGCTTGTTCTGCAAAACGGGCATGAGGAAAGCATCTGTGTTATAGGGTTGTTGTGAGCATCAGCACAATGCCAGGCAGAGCCCCCATACTGTCAATATGATGCTGGCAATATTGTCTCATGGTTCTAGAGGCTGGAACTTGAAGACCTGGTCATGATGAGAGGAGAGGGAGAAAACTGCTGCAGGGAGTCAACCTGTCTTAAATGTTGGCTTCTCTGGAAGCAGAAGCCTGCAGAACAAGGGGACAAATATTCACGCAGCTTCCCTCTCCAGCTGTTGAACCTGTTTAAGATGGACGCTTCAGGCAATGGCTGTGCAAACCCTCCTTTTGACCATTCTTCTATGGAGGGGACTGGGGGATTCATTTTCTTCCTTGAAACTGCAATATTCATAACCCCCATTTTTTTTCCTCTGTAAAGGCAAGGCTTTTTCCAAGCCACCCCTAGATATGAAACCTTGTTCCCCAAATTGCTGAAACAGAAAAGCTGCGATTCTGACCTAAAAGGCCAGAGGCAGACACCAACCTCTCCAGCCATCTCCAACTTCCCCCGGTCCGCTGTGAATGCAGGATGTCTTTGTTTCGTTTAAACCCCTGGCCAACACCGTTCTGATTTGATGAACTACCCAATTTCCTCCCTCGATAGATACTCTTTCCCTCGTATTTATAACCAAACCTTCTAATCCCCACCCACTCTTTGTCTGCCCCCAGCCTCCAGCTCAAGGACTTCAGCAGGACGCCCCCTCCCCTCCCCATCCCGTAAAACCCGCGCGTCTCTGGTGGGCTTCAGGGGGTGGAGCAGGCATCAACGCAGGACTCACCGAGCGGCAGCCAGAGGATTCTGCTGCGGTCTGGGCCTGGGCGGGGGTCGAGCTGCGGGCCGGGTGAGCCGTATCGCGCGTGCGTCACCTCCCTCCTCATCTTAGCTCCGCCTCCACCGCTCCCCCAGCAGGTGGAGGCCGCCCCGCTCCGAGGCCCCGGAGCGCGACCCAGATGCTGGCGCCTCCTGCCCTGAGCCACGCAGGGTTCAACCCACGCATTCCACGTACACATGTACTGGAGACTCTTTTATCTATCGACCCTTGCGGAAGTAATTCACTTTTTCTCAAGCAATTATCTGAACAATGTGTCAGTTCGCCACTTTTGCCCTTCACCCGCAATGCCACATCTTTAATTTTCCCACCTCCCATCTTTTTTTTTTTAAGTCTTCTAGGTTGAAGAAGGGGCAATGATAGGAGAGACAAAAGATAAAGAGGTCCTAAGAACTTTTAATAATGGTGTATCCATCATAAGGGTGTTTCAGGAGCCCTTTCACTGAGCAGAAAAATTGGGGATTTTTAATACGAGATGTTAGAAACTTCTGTTAGAAGTGATACACCAAAAACACATGAAAACCTCTAGGAACATTAGTTCTGAGTGTTATTTCTAAACTTCCAGACCAACTATCAAGTAAGATTTCTTTAGCCTGAAGAGAAATTGAACTTCCTGCGCATCGCAGAAATTTATCCAGGTAGACCCAGAATTTTTTGTTGAATACTTATGGAACAATCTTGAACATGTGAATTTAGTCCAAAGTTGAGATGTAAAACCATAAAATAGAGCATGGCACATTTCTTTCAAAACTGGGGATGAGTAAAGTACCCTGGGGGCCAGAGAATAACTATATTGATGAGGCTAGAATCCAGGTCTCTTTACCCTAGCTCCATGCTGCAAATCCTGCTCAGCTGTAGCATCTTGTACAAATTAGAGGGACCCACAAAATTCAGTCCCAAGACACATGGCCTTTTGGTTTAAAGCCAAGCCTCCTTTCTAGTGTCTTTTCTTCCATGGATGCTCGTTTCCAGCTTTCTGTTTCAGTGCTTGCAAATCAACAGGACAAATGCGGACTATTATTGGTTTTAGGCTCAAAGACCATGCTGGGGTTTAATATTATTTACACATACTTAAGTTTTTCAATTCAGAATTTTATCTTAACATTGTTTACTGTTATCTTCATTTTGTGCTTGGAAAAATGGAGAAGCCATTACAATTTACAGCTTTTGTGTTGAAAGGAAATTGAGATACACCAAAAGGTTTGCTTCATATGAAATTTGGTATTTTAAAAACATATATATCCTGGACTTGATGATCAAACACCAATATTAAATTCTTAGTGATTATAAAATGTTGCCAGCCTAAGTCCTATGTAATTGTATTTTTTGTTGCTTATGGTAAACAAATTTGTATGAGATCTTTAGTCACACTTGCAAGAACAAAGTGAAAGTAATCCTTTAAGTTAGTGACTATGTACCATGCTTTTAACTGTGTTAAGTACGTTCACCTAACATTTGACCAGATATTCTCATGAGCAATATTATCTTTTATATAAAATAGATTAATTTTAAAATTTAACTTTCCTGTCCAAGCTACTCACCTTCATAGTCCTCCTATACTGTTAGCTTTCAGCTAACAAAAGTGGGAGTGACATGTGGGTGTTTTTTTAATTTATTTTTAATATTTATTTGTTTGTCAGAGAGAAAGAGCAAGCACAAGAAGGGGGAGCGGCAGGCAGAGGAAGCAGGTTCCCTGCTGTGCAAGGAGCTCAATGTGGGACTCAATCCCAGCACCCTGGGATCACAACCCGAGCTGAAGGCAGACGCTTAACTGACTGAGCCACCCAGGCATCCCAGGGTAGTTTTTTGGTTTTTTTATTTATTTGACAGAGAGAGACACAGCAAGAGAGGGAACACAAGCAGAGGGAGTGGGAGAGGGAGAAGCAGGCTTCCCGCGGAGCAGGGAGCCCGATGCGGGGCTCAATCCCAGAGCCCTGGGATCACGACCTGAGCTGAAGGCAGACGCTTAACGACTGAGCCACCCAAGCGCCTGTTTGTTTTTTTTAATGAATATCTTTCATTATTATCAATCTCAGAAAAGCCACTAATTCAGGTAATTGTACAGTTTATCTCCTGTGCCTTCTTACTGGACTTCACCCATACCCATGGGTATAAAATAACATTAGTACATTTTTAAAAGTTTATCCAGAGGGGAGGTGAAGTTTAAACAATTGCTTTGAATCAGACAACATATATTTCAGAGTTTGAGTGTTTTCTATCTCCACTTACTATCAGAAATATCATAAACACCTGAAATGCATATCGTTTATATCACAAACCTGTTTTGTCATAAAACATGGTATTTATATCTACAGGTTTTCAGTCTTTATATAAGTCAAATTCTTACTAGTAGTGAAGGGGTGCCTGGGTGGTTCAGTTGTTAAGCGTCTGCCTTCAGCTCAGGTCATGATCCCAGGATCCTGGGATCGAGCCCCGCATCAGGCTCCCCACTTCGTGGGAAGCCTGCTTCTCCCTCTCCCACTCCCCCTGCTTGTGTCCCTGCTCTCGCTATCTCTCTGTCAAATAAATAAATAAACTCTTTAAAAAAAAAAATTCTTACTAGTGAGAAACGGTTGATTCCTAGGTAATACAGAAACAGGAAATAGCTTTGAAATAAAACAGATGTATTGCTAACAAGTAGAACTTGGTAAAGAAGACACATCTGATGACTTTAAATTTCTCTGTAAATATGGGCTGCTCTGAGTAGATGTGCAATGCTGTTCTATTCTGCTCCACTATCTGAATGTGGCGTTCTAATAACTGACCTGCAAAACTATCTTTAGTGGTTTGTTCTGCCTGCAACATTCCTTCCTCTAAAACCTCGAGAATATCCACCATGTTGACATTATTCTTTCCTTAAGCACTTGTAACTTTTAATAATTTAAAATATAAATTTAGACAGATTTGCTTGACAATTTGGGTCAAATTCTAAGAGGTACTTTGAATTTCATCAGAGATTCAGACAAGTCATTTTCCAGAAGGTTACCTTTAATGTCTATGCTAAATAAATAACATTTACACACCAGACAAAACCATCATAGGCTTTTATAAGAATCAAAGTTAAGAATCCAAGTTAAACGTACAGAGGTACATCAACTATTTTAAATTATAAAATCAAGTGTGTGCATATTAAGAAATCACCTTGATTAAAAATTTCCAAGCTTAATTATTCCTCCTTAAATAATTTTAAATTCTGTATCGGACAAAACAGCTACAAATGTATCTGTGCAAATTAACTTTAAAAACAGTATGGCTCAAAAGTCATCAATTATTTCTGCAGCATCATTCTATAAGAGCACACTTGAGTCATTTTTCTGCTTTAGCCATAATTCTTAGTCCCAGGGAACATACCGTACACAACTACAAACAATATAAACCTAACTACTCTGCCCCAAATAGGAGTAAAGGATTAAGATGCTATTGAAACAAGTTAATTTTTAGGGATTTTGGCAAAAGCCATAAATATCAGTGTAATTAAAGAAATAAGATTTATAAGGCTTATCTCTTCCCTTTACATGTATGAAATTTCTTGTAGAAACCTGACTTAGGAGGAATAACAGGAAATAGGTAACTCGTTCCACTCTTCCTATCACACTTAATATAAAATCATACAATTTTCAAAAATTTTCTCACAAACCCAGCCAACAATTTCTTTCAAAAAGTGTAAATTCTGCTTTAAGAGATCATAAGTTTAAATACTGCCATAATTAAGAAAAACAAAATAGTCATTTATACAAGCATAAGAATTCAAGTTGCTTGTGCAGTGAAATTAAAATCTATCACTTCATCTTCCTGAGCTAACAACCTAACATGTAGATTATCCTGCCAGTCCTATCACCAACCACTAATTTTATTTACATTAACAAGTATTAACATTTATCAATTACAAGTCTACAGGTTTACTCGTTGGTAGTAGCTGAGCTTTGCCAATAGGATTTTTTGGAGAACCTTTATACCAGACCCTTTCTTTTTCTGACGGTTTCCTAAGGACTCTGGTATTTATCCCAGGAGAAAAGCCCATATTATTATTTACAACAGATCTTAATATGTCATGATTTGTCAGGTCATCCAAGGGAACCTTAATTTGATCATCAGATACTACTTCCTGTTTACAAATTCTGGTAGACCCAAGAGAAGCATTCTTGGAGTCTGGGTACCTCTTCATCCTTGAAAAAGACTTGTAAGTTAACTCCATGCCGGATTTTGAAATTGCATCAACATTTGGCTGTTCACATGCTGTAAACTTCTGTTCTTTAGGACCTGCTTTGGTACATGAAATCAACGAATCTTTTGATGTACTTTCTGTACCAGAGGAAAGGGCACTGTCACAGCTCACTGATTTAACCAGAGGAGAAGCGGCATCACCAAGACTTGCCGATTTGTGCCTTACAGGTTGTCTGCTATACTCCAACAAGGAGTTAATCCTTCTGACAGACTGACGGACAGGTGTACGCTGAAACTTAAGAGGTGACCTAACTTTGGTCCTATTTGGTTCGTTGAGAGAAAGCTTGTTAAACCACTGTATGTGGTCTGACACCCTCCCGTGCTCTGTCATTTGTGAGCTTTCAGGGCTGGTTGTATGGCAGGTTCCCCCCAGTGACTGCTGCTGAATGATTCTCACAGGCCTCGGTTCTGGCAAGTTTGTTATATTACGTGTAATCTGCTCTGAGGAAGAGAGGTCAGCTGCATCCTCCCTAGAAGCTGCACATTTCAGTAAGAAGTTCTCTTCAATCATATTCTCATTCTCCTTTAATTGAGTATTTAGTTTATCCCTTGGGGACTGCTGTTTCTTTATGTGTTCATCACTAGGCAATTCTGGCTTGACTGAATGATCTCTAGGTATATCTGAATGGATGCTTTTCTCATGTTCAGTCTTCATATGAGTTGAGTAAAATGTTATAGTTGCTTCTCCATTCGATTTTTGAGTTTGATGTAGTGAGATGTCTTGTTCTGAAAAACTATTTTCATCTGTTTTAGTTTGATGTTCATCTGATTCTATCACAGTCAAATCACTAGTTTCAAATAGATTTTTCTCCGGGCTATATTCTGTAGAAGATGTTTCATTTAGCTTTACTTTCCCCACATTAGTTATTGATGACTGCCTGTGATTTATCAATGCATGAAGATTACTTCCAGACTCAGAAAATGCTTTCTGAATTTTCACCAAAGTCTCTGTGGTCAAGTTATTTTCATCCCCACTAAGAGAACTTCCAGTTACATTGTTGTTATGCTTATCGTGTACGTTAGAAGGGGTGAGTTCACATGAACGAACAGGGGACTTTTCAACCGTAGTATCAGGCTCCAAAGAGCTTTTCACCTCAAGGTTTCCTTTGATCGGAGAAACTTCATTTGCAGCTCTTTCTTGAAAACTGGAATTACTAGGTCCTGTCCAAGACATCCGGTAACTTGTTCCATCTAGACGCTCTGGAGTTAATAAGTTTTCGTCAGATTTATGGATCTTTTTTGAACCTAAAATAAAACAGTTGTCTTTTTAATCATTTATATTTGAAACATTATTCAAACACATGGCAGATAAAGGTATTAAACATTAAATTTCAATAAATTAAGGATTTGTGTTAAAAGAAATAATTTTTAATATAAAAATGTCAAACATTTTTGTATTTATATTATAAAGCATCTTCCAGTTGTTCAGACAAAAATACGATGCCAATTCAAATATTTTTATTCAAACATGAATTTTTAATTTCTAGAACAGTAAATTAATATATTTTATGATAAAATAACTGAAGCTTATATGTAAATTACATCTAATTATATCTCAAGAAAGCCAGAAAAACTTTTTCAGAAAAGCAATGAAAGTAGGCTTTTTGGGTAAAACTAAAAATATCATGTAACTGTACCTTTCTTTGTTAATCTTTCATCAATATCTGGGCTAAAAAGCAGACCTGTTTTTATAGACTCAATCCCATTTTTTAAACTTTGTTGATTTGCAAGTCGTCGACCAACATTTTCATGTCTGTCGACACCAGAACACCCATTCTGTACAGAAAAGAGAAATTGAAAATGTTTTGGTTAAGAAATAAACCTAGTTAATTCAAATACTAAGACAAAGTAAATTTTTGTAGTTATCAAAATCCTCTACAGCTGAGTGAAAAAGGTATATAAAAGTAAACAATTTCATACCAAACACAAATGTACTTGCATGCATGCATGCTGATGAAAACTGTAAGGATTTGACTTGGCTATTACTTGGTATTTTATGATCTAAAATAAAAACAACCTCACATATTAACTGAAATAATTTCTTTTGTGATGACTCTATGCTAGGACCTGCTCACAACAGTGAGTGAACAAAACAAAACAGACCAAAATCTTACCCTCAGAATTTACATTCTAGATGGGGAGATTTGGAGGACAAGAACACCAGGTAAATTATACTGTATATTATACAATACACAAGGTGAGAAATGCTATGGAGAAAAGCAGAGCAGGGTAAGAAGGCTATGGTGGGGTGTCATTTTAAACAGAGTGTTCAGAAGATGATGTGTGAGTAAAGAAAAATGTGTGAGAGCCATGAAGATAAAGGGGGAAAGAACATTATCGCAGGGAGAAGAAAGGCCAGGGCAGTGTCCAAGGCTGAAACCAGGTCTGGCACATTTGACAAACAGCCCGGAGGCAAGAAGCTGAGTGAGCCTGAGGGAGCGGTGAAAGGAGGACTCAGAAAGGCAGGCTGGCTCCAGTCCTGTGGAGAGGTGCATGTCAACATGAGAACTTTATCTTTTTTTTCAGAGTGAAATGAGGAGTCACTGGAGGATTTTGAGCAGAGGAGTGACAGGACTTTACTTGGGATTTAAAAGGATCAGTTTGGCTGTAGTATTACAGCAAGGTAGAGGTAGACCTACTAGTAGGAGCTTATTGCAGTAAACCAAGCTGGAGATGACAGAATTTACAGAATATTAGAAATGTAGTACCAGTGAGAATTGTTCAGTCTGGATATACTCTAAAAGCGGAGGAGACACAAGATTCCCTAATGGTTTACACAGGACGTGTGAGAAAGTGAGGAGTCAAGAATGCCTACATGGGGGGACAGCTGGGTGGCTCAGTCATTAAGCGTCTGCCTTCGGCTCAGGTCATGATCCCAGGGTCCTGGAATCGAGCCCCCCATCAGGCTGGGCTGCCTGCTCACAGGGAAGCCTGCATCTCCCTCTCCCATGCCCCCTGCTTGTGTTCCCTCTCTTGCTGTGTTTCTCTCTGTCAACAAATAAAATCTAAAAAAGAATGCCTACATGGTTTTTATTTTTTTTTTTAAAGAAGGCCCTTTATTTATTTATTTATTTTAAGATTTTTATTTATTTATTTAACAGAGAGAGAGAGAGAGCCTAAGTAGGCAGAGTGGCAGACAGAGGGAGAGGGAGAAACAGGCTCTCCGCTGAGCAGGGAGCCTGATGCGGGGCTCGATCCCAGGACCCTGGGATCATGACCTGAGCCGAAGGCAGCCGCTTAACCGACTGAGCCACCCAGGCGCCCCTGCTTACATGGTTTTTAGCCTAAGTGACTGGGAGAATGAGTTGCCATAGCTGAGATGGTGATGACTATAGGTGGGGATATCGTTGGTGGAGAGGGGGAGGAGTGGAGAAATAGCAGCAGTGAAGAAATGCATCTTGCAAGCTCTATTTGGGACAGGTTACACTTGAGATGTCTATTGGATGGACATCAAGTAAAGAAGTAGGCAGATGTTAAGAAATAGTCAAGTTGTTCAGGAAAGCATTTTGGGCTAGAGATATAAACTTGGAAGTCTTAAGTAAATATATGATTAAAGCTAATGAGCACCTTGAGTGAGTAGAAAGAGAAAAGGGAACTCTTTGGGCACTCCAATGTAAAGGAATTAGGAAAGTAACCAGTGAAGAAGGAAGAATCATGAGTAAAGTGCCCCTGAAGCAAAGAAGGAAAGTATGCCAAAGAGGAGCAAGTGATTAGCCAGGTCAAATGCTGTTGACAAGTCTAATAAGGACTGTTATTTGTCCACTGGTTTGAGCATCAGTGAATTCATGGGTGATCTTGAAAGCAGCTGCATTGAGTGTTGGGGATGAAAGCCTCATTAGAATCAATTTAAGCAGAACAGAAGAGGAGGGAACAGTAGATATCAATTCATGTGTAAGAGTTTGGTATAAACGAGACAGTAGCTGGAGAGGCAGGGTTGAGAGTGTCTTTTACCATCAAGTCTACAGCTTTATGCTAATATGAACATCAATGAAATGGTGAAAGACACTTACTATGTCTTTGCTACTTTTCCCCAGACTAAATTTCAAACGAAGAGATCTTCGGACCTTTTCTTTACGACTGATCTTAGGAGAGAAGCAGCCTGCTTTTCCTGATTCCACTCTAAAAAAGCATGGGATTAAAAATGTCAGCATCAAAAAAAAAAAAAATGTTAGCATAAAAACTGGAGGCATTCTTGCAAAATGCAATTTGAAAGTCCAGAGCAAATTATATTGCTAGTAATTAAACAGAGTAATAATTTTCTAAAATCAGTTAAGCTTTAATGTATACATTATATTTGTATATAAAATGGGCTCTCCTGTTTATCACAAGAGTTACTTAGTCACTTATAAAACAGAATCATTAGAACAGACTAGCCTTGGGGCGCCTGAGTTGGCTCAGTCTTGATTTTGGCTCAGGTCATGATCTCAGGGTCCTGGGATTGAGTCCCATGTCTGGCTCCACACTCAGCAGGGAGTCTGCTTGAGGTTTCTTTTCTCCCTCTCACTCTGCCCCTCCCCCTCAAATAAATTTATTTTTTAAGAAGAACAGACTAGCCTACAAATTAACGGGAAATTAAAAAATTACACACATCAACATACAATAGGATTTTAAGCAAGCAAAGTGGACTCAAATTAGAAGTCATTCTCTGGAGGATATATAAAGGGCAGCTGATTGATAAGATAATAAAGGCAGGGGGAATTTTTAAAAATTATGACTCAAGGGGCGCCTGGGTGGCTCAGTCGTTAAGCGTCTGTGGCTCAGTCGTTAAGCGTCTGTGGCTCAGGTCATGATCCTGGGGTCCTGGGATTGAGCCCCGCATTGGGCTCCCTGCTCAGCAAGAAGCCTGCTTCTCCCTCCCCCACTCCCCCTGCTTGTGTTCCCTCTTTTGCTGTGTCTCTCTCTGTCAAATAAATAAATAAAATCTTTAAAAAATAAAAATAAAAATAAATTATGACTCAAATATGATTCTCAGCAGAAAGACAAACAAAGTATTTTATTAACGATATATACCAGTGAAACGAAATGTCCTGGATTTATTACCTGCAAACTTTTTTGCCTGCAATCCTCTTACTTCGCCTTAGCACACCTGTACTAATCAAACGGTTTCCACTGATGGTTATAGGAGAGACTGAACTCTGAGATGATCCTTCTGGGCTTGTATCAAAGGGAACTATAAAAATATAACCACATGTGATATACCACCCACACTTCCTTTCCAAAGTATAAAATATTAATAGCAATTAGATTTAAAGTCTTAATTTCCAACCCTATGCAATAACAAAATCACATTTCTGGTAATCAACTTCAGAAGCCAAATAAACCCAATTCAACTTTTTAAAAAAGTATCAATTTCTTACTTTTTAGCTGCCAATTAAGGGTCAGATTAAACATGATTTTTATATTAAAGTTTTGCTTTAAACTCATTTAATAAGGAGTGTAGATTAATATAGGAAAAAATTATAAATAGGTACCCTGTGAACTGTAGATTAATACAGCTGCCTTTATATATTAAAAAAAGCGCATATCTGTTATTATCCAAAATTAGAAACCAATCCATTTTCAATTTTGCGATGGAATTTACTGAATTGTGGTTGAGAAAGTAAGGCCAAAGAAAAATGGTAAGTTAAGACCTGTCTTTAAAACCAATAATATATGTTAATTAACTGAATTTAAATTTTTAAAAAATGAAAAAAAAAACCACAAAAAAGCAAAAAAAAACAAACAGCAAAAAAAAAGTGGGTAAGGCAGTTTCTCTGCAGTGGCCATTCTAGCTCTGTTTTAAGATGGCTCCAGTCTCACCCGTTTTTCACAGGTCTGATAAAAATATCAGTAAATGTAAACTATATTATTATTTTTCTTAATAATATAAACGCAGTGTTTGGTAATAAAGACTTATGTGTTATTGTTCCCTAAGATATTAAAATATAATTTTTGTAATTAAATTAGACCAATATAGAAACTGAATCTTTTCAGGAGTGCCTGGGTGGCTCAGTCAGTTAAGTGTCTAACTTCGGCTCAGGTCATGATCTCAGGGTCCTAAGATGGAGCCATGCACCAGGCTCTGCGCTCAGCGGGGAATCTGCTTGTCCCTCTGCCCCTCCTCCTGCTCATTCTCTCTCTCTCTCAAATAAATAAAATCTTTAAAAAAAAAAAAGAAAGAAAGAGAGAAAGAGAAGAAGAGAGGAAGGAAGGAAGGAGGGAAAGAAGAAGGAAGGAAAAGAGAAAGAAAGAAAATGGTGAGTTAAAATAACAGGATTATTGTTATCGAACTTGATTTTTAAATTTTTTTTAAAAAGATTTTATTTATTTATTTGACAGAGACACAGCAAGAGAGGGAACAGGGGGAGTGGGAGAGGGAGAAGCAGGCTTCCCGCCGAGCAGGGAGCCCGATGTGGGGCTCAATCCCAGGACCCTGGGATCATGACCTGAGCCGAAGGCAGACGCCTAACCAACTGAGCCACCCAGGTGCCCCTGAACCTGATTTTTTTATTAAAAAAAAATCATTGATTCAGCAGGCTCATACTAACGTTCCAGTAACACAAGAATGTTTAAACTACTTTTTGGGAGCTTGGGGATAAGGAATCAATAGGTTCGCTTCTTGAAGCAGGTATTATAATGCTAATAAGCAAAGGCAGATAGAATTACAGTTCACACTGGCCATTTGGAAACAGTCCTCCAAAGTCGAAAAAAATAAGAAAACACTAAGTTAGGGGCATCTGGAGGGCTCAGCTGGTTCAGCCTCAGGCTCTTGATTTCAGCTCAGGTCATGATCTCAGACTCATGAGATCAAGCCCAGCCTTGGACTCTACACCGAATCTGTTCGAAATTCTCTCTCTCCATCGCCCTCTGCCCCTCCCCCTCTGCTCGCACTTTCTCTCTCTCTCTAAAAAAAAAAGGAGAGAGAGAGAGAGAAAATACTAAGTTAGTTTAAAAGAATTCAAGTCTCCAACCTCTGAATACTGAAAGAAATACAGACATAGCTTCAGATATATCTGTATTTGTCTTATCATTACAACGATATGTCTTATTGCATTTAGCAAACCACACACAGAGATCCTGTGAAGGACCATAAAAAACAAGTTCAACTTTCTAATAAAACAAACAAGGAGGGCGCCTGGGTGGCTCAGTTGGTTAAGCGACTGCCTTCGGCTCAGGTCATGATCCTGGAGTCCCTGGATCGAGTCCCGCATCGGGCTCCCTGCTCGGCAGGGAGTCTGCTTCTCCCTCTGACCCTCCCCCCTCTCATGTGTTCTCTCTCTCATTCTCTCTCAAATAAATAAATAAATAAAATCTTAAAAAAAAAAAAAAACAAGGAAAATCTAGACTTTTCTTAACCTAGCTAACAAATTTAAAGTAACACTCTCAACACTGTCTGAAATCAATAAAAACCTAAAAGAATTAGAGATCACTCACTTTTTGATGAAATGTGAGACAAATAGGAGATAGAGCACTCTGGGCTCAGTTAGGATTTCATCTCATTTTGCGTTGATCATAACGTTAACCTGTACGATCAACCATGAGCCAACTTGTATTCTGTACATGCTAAAGGAGCCAACTCAATCTAAGACCATACTAACAAAAATCTGGTACTCAAATTAGCAAAATTATATTTTTCTCTGACGGCTCTGGGTGGCTATATTAGGAACTTATAAGTCATTTGGAAGAAAATGGCTGGGCTGGTAAAGAATCTGGAAACCGTGTCATAAGGAACAGCGTAAACCAAGTTATTAAAGCTTTTATAAAATCTACTTGAGTATAAAACTAAAAAATACCCCCCCTTTAACTACACAATGGTTCCTCTATGGCAGTACCCCACCACTCTGCATTTAGGGAAAATCAAATTTTGGCAACCTCAACAGGAGATAACAATACAGTCCTAGCTCTAGATCAGGAAGTAACGAAGTAGAATTCAGGATGTCCAATCACCTAAAACCTGAGCACCAGTGCTACACACAGGAGCCCAAACTCTCATTCTAAGTTACTTATCATAACTTTCAATAGGCAGGGTCAGTCAACATACACACATACACATTAATTATAGAGAATTAGTGTCTATTTTAAAAGTGAGGGGACTTTATAAAAATTAAAAGATTTGATAAACTGAATAAAGCCATAGCTCCTAAAAAGGGTGCCATTAATATGAAATAGGACTTTGCTCAGAATAGACACTTTCATGTTAATGTTTACAACCCAATTATATAAATTCTATTTGCTACCTGATACTGGTGTAGAACTGCTACTGAAGAGATTAGTTGGTAACAACTCAAAGTTAAAATTGTGCTTGATGGACTTCCTCTTCTTACTTGAGAAACCATGAGAGGAATCCACTGGCAGTTTACGCTTAGCATTTGGTGTAAGAATCGTGGGTGATATGGATACCTGGGCTGAAAAAAAAAATGTTTTATTTTATCAACTCTGTGGGTAAAAAAAAGCTTTATGTAATTTCTTCTTATAAAGTTGTTACTTAGCGCTAACGAAAGAATGAAGAATATGTTTACATTATCAAATATATGTTATAACTAAATTAACACCATGCAATTATTTAAAATGGTAACAGGGAAGTCACAAAGAGGTAAGATTAACAATAGTGACTTAAACCAAACAGACTGAAAGATGCATATAATCCACAGTAAAGAATACTAATGTATGGAATAAAATAATAATCAAGGAGATCAAACAAACTGATCTACATAATAGTTTTGCTTTTCATCATAACTAAATATTAACCACTTAATTTCTTCAATCTGAAAAACAAAACAAATGATCATATCGTCTGTTATTAAGTTATTGGCCTGACTAATTTCAGCCACAAGCAAACCAAGATAAAAATGGGAACATACGCTAATAAAATTCTGGTTCTAAAACAAAAATGAAATTTGAGTTATTTTCACATATTCAACAGCATCCAACTTACATTCAACAGAAAAGCATGATTTAAAAGACTAAAGATGTAACAACAAACTAAAAGAAATTCTTACCTACAATTTTGGGTTCATTATACCCAATGTAATTAGCAATGTCACAACACAATTATAGTACCATATCTCCATTTAAAATAGTATTTGGATTTGATTAAACCAAAGTAAGTTAGGTAATGGTTACTCTCTATAATACACAGAAATTTTCACTTAAATACAAAACATATAATACCTACCAATTTTTTCTTGTTGAGGTGTAACGGAGGGTGTTCTGTTAGATTTAAGTTTATTCAATGCTCCACTAACAAAATCTGAAATGCAAAACACATATAATCATATAATCAATTATAATTTAACATTTACCTATCTTTCACCAATAATTCATATTGATGTTTGTGGTTTTCCAGCATTTAAGTTTATGTCAGCTTATACATTTTATTTATTATTTTTTAAAGATTTTATTTATTTATTTGAGAGAGAGTATGAGTGGGGGTTGGGGAGCAGAGAGAGAGGGAGAAGCGGACTCCCTGCTGAGCAGGGAGCCCGACAGAGGGCTCAATCCCAGGACCCTGAGATCATGACCTGAGCCAAAGGCAGATGCTTAACCAACTGAGCCACCCAGGCACCCCTACATTTTAAGTCACTTAAGTTTAGAAGAAATTATTTCAAAATAGGAAAAAAACTAAAAGATGTATTTTGATTACATTCCCAACTTATATGCCCATCTCTTCTCTCTCAAAAAAAAAGACATACAATATAGAATGTGTGTAAAACAAATGTGTATAACGTACAGAAAGAGAATGGGAGAAAATCATTACCTATTGAGGAAGAGAAGAAATGGCAAGAAAAGAGAAAGCTTGGCAGGGGAAGCAAAACCTGGACAGTGTTCTGAAGGATTAGTAGGTGTTGATTTATTTTAGTAGGAAGGTAGCATTTGGGCAAGGTGAATAGCATATGCAAAAGCATGTAGGTGAAACGACACGACTTATGTATGCTAGAAACCAGTAGTTTGATACTGCTAGAACAAACAGAGAGCAGTGGATATGGTAAGAGATAAGTCTTGTGCATTAGATGGAAAAAGGCCTCTATGTCATTTTGAAGAACTTGAACTTCTCCAAAGGCAAAAACAGGGGCGCAAAACTGTCAGATCTGCATTTTTGAAAAAATAACTGGCAGCAGTATGATAGAGTTAGGGGGCTGGCTAACTAGCTGAAGGTTCTTCTAAGTATGTTATTTAGTCATTCAACAAAGATTTATTTTGTGCCTACTATGTGTCAAGCACAGTGCTACCACTGAAGATACAAAAGTGATCAAAACAGACATGGTCTTTGCCTTTATAAAACTTACTCTAACAGAGAAAAAAAAAAACATGAAAAATACCAAGGAAATATAATGACAAATGGGATTCGTAGTCTGAAGTACAAATTTAACAACAGATTTAGACTGGGGAGTTACAGGTGCTCCTGAGGAAGTGATATTTGAGATCTAAAGGAAGAGTGGCAATTAGCCAAGCAAAAGGTGAAGATCTGAACTAAGGCAGGAAGAGTGCAAATGGAGGTGGAAAAAAGGTATTTAGGAGCTCAAAGTGACAAGATTTAGTGATCAGTGAGATGTGGGAATGAGAAAAGAGTAGATAAGAGTATCTAGAATTCTGATTTTGATGATTGCAAAGACAATGGTGCCACCCAAAGAAAAGGAAATTATACAGGGAAAAGTTAGACATGCCTATGGAACACTGAAATGGATATGAATCAGTTTGTGGAAAGATCAGGGTTGGAGAAGTAGTTTGAGAGTCATCAGCTCAGCAATGGTAGTTTTTAAAAATGAGAGTGAATGAGGTCATTTAGGAAGAGGGCAAAGTGTAAAAAGAAAAGTCAAGTATGGAAGAATGGAGCAATTAAGAGGTGGTAGAAAAAGAAAATCCAAAACATAAAGACAGAACAAGTGGAGAGGTGCCTGGGTGTCTCTGTCGGTTAAGCGTCTACCTTCGGCTCAGGTCATGGTTCCAGAATCCTGGGATCAAGCCCTGCGTCAGGCTCCCTGCTCAGCAGTGGGTCTGTTTCTCCTTCACCCTCTGCCCTTCCACCTGCTTGTGCTTGCTCGCTCTCTCTCTCATAAACAAATAAAATATTAAAAGAAAAGACAGAACAAGTGGCTAAAGATGTAGGGAAACAAAAGCATAGTGTTATAAAAACCAAGTAAATTAAAAAAAAAAATCAGGAAGGAAATAGTTAAGTGGCCAAAGAGATTCTGAATGATACAGGCCTAAAAAAGTACCCACTGGATTTAGTGATTAGGAAACTGTGACTTCAACTAGTTTCATGCAAAAATATACCCCTAATTTTTAGCCACAATGTAATATAAAAGTTCTTTAAATATGTCTGTTTACCTGATTAATCACCAAATATCACTCAAAATAAAGTTCAGCTATAGCCCACTTGTGTATTATTGAGAATCTTACACCTTTCAAGTGAAACAGGTACAAACCAGAGAAGACTGAAAACCTTAATGAAGAGCCAAAAATAGGCTATACTCTAAATGGCAGGTAATGGCTTATAAAGCCAACCTTCATGGCACCTGAGCAGACAAACAAAGTTAATATGGGAGAGGAAAAAGAGAAAAAAAGGAAAGAAGAAAAACAAAAGCCAGAGCTGAAGAGAGAAGAAACAACTGAGCAACAGACTCAGCCACAGCAAAAAACCCCACACAATTAGAATAGCACAGGAAAGGAGACGCCTGGGTGGCTCAGTAGGTTAAGCATCTGCCTTCGGCTCAGGTCATGATCCCAAGGTCCTGCGATCAAGTCCCGCATCAGGCTCCCTGCTCAGCGGGAAGCCTGCTTCTCCCTCTCTGCCTGCCACTCCCTCTGCTTTGTGCTCTCTGACAAATAAATAAATAAAATCTTAAAAAAAAAAAAAAAAGAATAGCACAGCAAAAATCAGAAGCATGGAAAGACAAACTATTCCCTCCATAATCTGAAACCATCCTGACTGCATCACAGCATCATGGGCCACACTGCAAGTACAGACCAACTTTTTTTTTTTAAAGATTTTTTTTTTTTTTTTTTTAATTTAACTGACAGAGAGAGAGAGACAGCTAGAGAAAGAACACAAGCAGGGGGAGTGGGAGAGGGAGAAGCAGGCTTCCCGCCAAGCAGGGAGCCCGATGTGGGGCTCCATCCCAGGACCCTCAGATCATGACCTGAGCTGAAGGCAGCTTAACCAACGGAGCCACCCAGGTGCCCCAAGTACAGACCATCTTTCTAGAGAAAGAAAAAAATTATGTCTCATGACATATGTATTTCAGGAAGTACCAGACTATTAAGGGCATATTCATCAAATCAGCTCAACACTGTACCACGGACCATGAAAGACATTTGTTTAGCACAATAACAATACAGAAGAGCACACAAATTTGTAAACATAGGTAAAAACATTACTTTCAATACAAGAGTTTGCCCATAAAATACTATATAGATTCTGGGGTAAAACAATTATTGAGAATTGCCATACCCAGCATAAAACTAGGCTAGACTAACTAAGTCATAGAATAAATATCAAAAATAAAAGTAAAAGTTCCTGGAGAATGGTAGCACAACAAAGTTAATACACTTAACAGTACTGAACTGTACACTTAAAACTGGTTAAATGATAAATTTTATGTTACATATTTTTCTACAATTTAAAAGTCAAAAGATTCTTCAAAGCAAATGCAATCGGATCACATGGATGCTTGTAGCATTTCAGATTGAAATGAAAAAAAAAAAGAAGAAAAAAGACAAAAAAGGGCTATGGGCATTAAGGAGGGCATGTGATGCGATGAGCCCTGGGTGTTATACACAACTGGTAAATTACTGAACACTACATCTGAAACTAATGATGTACTATATGTTGGCTAATTGAATTTAAATTAAAAAAAGGGCTAGCTATAACACACAAAAGATAAACACTAATGGTCTAGAACTCCTCAACAACTTCAAATTGCTAATGAAATTGATGCATTTTTTTGGTAAGATTTTATTTATTTATTTATTTGAGAGAGAGAGACACAGCGAGAGAAGGAACATGAGCAGGTGAAGTGGGAGAAGGAGAAGCAGGCCTCTGGCCAACCAGGGAGCCCGATGCAGGGACCATGACCCGAGCTGAAGGCAGACGCTTAACGACTGAGCCACCCAGGTGCCCCTGAAATTGATGCATTTTAATGACGCTTGACAAACACTATTTTAACCTGTTTGAACAGATAAAGTACCTCTGGGTTTAAGCCAAATATTAGTAACTCGACTTAATGTATTCATTCTGTAGTTTATGCCCATTAAGTAAAAAACACTGGGCTGGATACAGTGTATAAAACATGGCCTCTACCTCCAAAGAGCATTAAATATAATAGGTAAGAGAATCATGTATGAGGAGTAAATATAAAAACATATAAAAACTGTTAGAGTCTAGAATATTATAGAATGCCAGCACAGAAAAGAGATTATTTTCCCACTAAAAACACAGCAGGGTGAAGCATGCCTGACAAAACACTTAAACTGAATTTTGACAACTGGATATAATTTGAACAGCAAGGGTAGCTGGAAGTAAAAACATTCTATCAATAAATAGGATAAGCAAAAAAGCCCAAAGTGTCTAAAAAACAATAAATAAAAAATGGAATTGAACTAAAGTATAGTATACATTGCATAAATTAGAGAGAGGAAACAGTAGAAAGGCATGCTAAAACAATCCTATGAAAGACCTTTAATATCAGGTTATAAATATCAGTTTTATCAGTGAAAGTTTCTGATGAGTATGTGGGAGACATGATTGGAGTTATACAGGAAGAACATCAGTCTTGACCGCAATAAGCCGGGCAGATTCAATGAAGAGGCATGAAGATCAATAAGGAGATTCTTAGAGTAAAGATGATGCAATAAATACCACAGAGAGCCTTACAGAACCTGAAAACTGTGAATATAAATGGTACAGTAAGAGTTAGGCACCCACCATTTAAAGCCCAAGTGACTAGAAAATGATGGTGCTGTTAACAAAAAAAGGAATTCAAGAAGAACCAGTTTAAAGAGGGTGAAGATGATCATTTCAAAATGCTGAGCTTAAAGCATCAAAAATAGGCAGAAGTGAAGATATCTGCCTAGTAAGCTGTTACTAAAGTGGAACTGATATTTGCGAGACAATAGTGGTAGAGATCCAGATCCAGTGTTGACCTATTTTTTTTTTAACATTTTATTTATTTATTTGACAGAGAGAGACACAGCGAGAGAGGGAACACAAGCAGAGGGAGTGGGAGAGGGAGAAGCAGGCTTCCTGCTGAGCAGGGAGCCCAACATGGGCTTGATCCCAGGATGCTGGGATCATGACCTGAGCCGAAGGCAGACGCTCAACGACTGAGGCACCAGGCTCCCCCTGTGTTCACCTATTTAGATGCTATAAATGAAACTCTAGGAATGAATGAAATCACAAAGGAAAAGAGGGTAATAAAGAGGATCTGTGGGGTGGCTGGGTGGCTCAGTCAGTTAGGCGTCGGCCTTCGGCTCGGGTCATGGTCCCAGGGTCCTGGGATCGAGCCCTGCATCGGGCTCCCTGCTCGGCCGGAGGCCTGCTTCTCCCTCTCCCACTCCCGCTGCTCGTGTTCCTTCTCTTGCTGTGTCTCTCTCTTTCAAATAAATAAAATCTTAAAAAAAAAAAAAAAAAGATCTGTGTCTGAGAATATCTGTATCTGGGGTAGGAAGTTTATGGGATGAATTATGTGCTCCAAAAATACATGTTTAAGTCCTAACTCCAAGTACTTGTGAATGTGACCTTACTTGAAATTAGGGTCTTTGTAGATGTATTCAATTTAAGAAGACGTCATAGGGTAGGCCCTAATTCAATGTAACTGGTGTCACTAGAAGATGAAAACTTGGACAGAGAGACACCCAGGGAAAAGGCCATGTGACAACAGAGGCAGAGATTGGATGCAGCTGCAAACCAAAGAATGCCAACAATCAACAATCACCACCAGAAGCTAGAAAAAAACAAGATTCTCCCCTACAGGTTTCAAGGGGAACATGGCTCAGACAACAGCTTGATTTTAGCTTCTAGTGTCCAGAACTATGAGACAATAAATTTTTGTTGTTTTAAGCCACGCAATTTGTGGTACCTTGTTACAGTGGCCCTAGGAAACTAACACAGAAGGCATAGGGGAATCTACAAATGAGGCAAAGAAGAAACATAAGGCTGTATCATATAAGCCAAGATTCAAATAAGAACAAAGACAGTTAATAACAATTAGTTCTAAAAAATGGGCAGAAGACTTGAACAGACACTTCTCCAAAGAAGACATACAAATGGCTAACAGACACATGGAAAAATTTCATCATCATTAGCCATCAGGGAAATTCAAATCAAAACCACATTGAGATACCACCTTACACCAGTTAGAATGGCAAAAATTGACAAGGCAAGAAACAACAAATGCTGGAGAGGTTGTGGGGAAAGGGGAACCATCTTACACTGTTGGTGGGAACACAAGCTGGTACAGCCACTTTGGAAAACAGTGTGGAGGTGCCTCAAAAAATTAAAAATAGAGCTACCCTATGACCCAGCAATTGCACTACTGGATATTTACCCCAAAGACACAGATGTAGTGAAAAGAAGGGCCATATGCACCCCAATGTGCATAGCAGCAATGTCCACAATAGCCCAACGGTGGAAAGAGCCAAGATGCCCTTCAGCAGATGAATGGATAAAGAAGATGTGGTCCATATATACAGTGGAATATTACTCAGCCATCAGAAAGGATGAATACCCAACTTTTACATCAACATGGATGGGACTGGAGGAGATTATGCTAAATGAAATAAGTTAAGCAGAGAAAGTCAATTATCATATGATTAAACTTATTTGTGGAACATAAGGAATAGCATGGAGGACATTAGGAGAAGGAAAGGAAAAATGAAGAGGAGAAAATCGGAGGAAGAGATGAACCATGAGAGACTATGGACTCTAAGAAACAAACTGAGGGTTTTAGAGGGGAAGGGGGTGGGGGGATGGGTTAGCCTGGTGATGGGTATTAAGGAGGGCATGGAGCACTGGGTGTTATATGAAAACAATGAATCATGGAACACTACATCAAAAACTAATGATGTATTGTACGGTGACTAACATAGCATAATAAAATAAAATTTTAAAAAAATAACGATTAGTTCTGATACTCAAAAAATGAGAAATTTCTTTTTTTTTTAAGTTTTTATTTATTTATTTGACAGAGAGAGAGACAGCGAGAGCAGGAACGCAAGCAGGGGGGAGTGGGAGAGGGAGAAGCAGGCTTCCTGCCGAGCAGGGAGCCCGATGTGGGGCTCGATCCCAGGACCCTGGGATCATGACCTGAGCCAAAGGCAGACGCTTAATGACTGAGCCACCCAGATGCCCCGAAGATGAGAAATTTCTTAAGGCAACTGGAAGAAGAATGGCCTCAGTCTTCTTGATCAAGAAGGAATAAATCCTATGACTGATTCCACCAGCTTTAGGTCTTTTTTTTCTTCCTTGGTAATGTTTCCTTCTTTAGTTAGTTCATACTTCTAAATAGTTCATGTCACTATTTCAAATCATGATCTCATGCCTGACTGTTCTCCGTATTCCCAAATCTCAATTCTTTACACCAGATAATTTTCGAAAACATTATAATCCTGTTATGCCTCTACTCGTAAACCTTCAATACCAATACCCAATATCCAGCTTCATGCTATAGTGTTTCAGCCTGACATTCAGTTCACCATAATATCCTCCTAATCCTTAGGATAAACCCCTCACTCAAGTCATGTTAGTCTATTTACTAATAGTCATAGATTATTTCTTCCCTACACAAATCTTTCTTTAGAGTATCCCTCTTATCTGCAATAGGATACAAGTATTCTAACGCTCTACCCAATTCCCCTAGAGTCTACCCATTTTTCAAGAAGGTTCAGTTTGACTTCTTCTTTGGACTCCCTGATCACCATAACCCAGGGAACTTTTTTCTCCCTTTGAACACATTTCACATTTATGCTAGATTTAGCATTTAATATTAGATTGTATTGTCATTTTCGCTTTTCACATGCATGTGTCTTGTTTCTCCAACTACGCCGTAAGCACCAAAAAGGCACAGACCACAGCTTATGCTTCATTACGTTTAAACACATTTTAGATGAAAGCAAATTGCTGTAATTCCACAAAATGAGACTGCCATTGCCACTTACCTCCTACACTTTGTCTTCGCTTTCTCTTATAATCACCAGGAGTTTCACATTCACCTTCTTCAAAGCCTTCTAATGATGGAGTAGCACAGAGACCATCAAGACCCAACATAGCTGGTACCTTTTCCTGGATAAAATCTGGAATATGCCCTAAAAAAATGTTCAGAATTAAAATTTTTCCTCTATTCTCCCTCAAAGTGTTCAAATAGTATATACCAAAATGTTCAAATAGTATATATTTCTAATAGTTGTCTTCATAGTTCACTTGGAGGAAGCTGGAATCTCCTTCATTTAAACTAATTCTGTTACTTTATAATGTTTCTACATCTTACCGATATCTGATGCATAGTCAATAAGAGTTTGCACCACTGCAGCCTGTAATCGTAGCTTTTTTTCTGTGTTAGCAGACATCTTTTCATGTCCTTCACTTGTCTGAAGAAGGTTTGGTGCAAATATTACAGCAAGATTGCTGCTATCCATCTTATTCTCACTGGACCTTAAATGACACAAAGTTCTCTTAGATTGAGCCAAAGAGAAACAGAGAGCTAAAATAACATATTCAGCACACTCTCAAGACTTATTTTATCAAACACAAGTCAAAATAGCTACCCTTTGTCTACCCATCTATATGATTGGCTTGAAATAAGACAGAACCAGAAAGAGCTTCTGTGTGTTTAAATATATATCATAAAAATCACACTAACTATAGAGCCCACACTTTGTTTTTCCACACAAACGGATATTTGATTTTCAAACCCACACACAGAAAAACTGTATTAAAAGGCTACAAGTATGTCTAGAACAAGCAGGCTCACTGACAGCAAGCAGAGAGAGGGGACAAATTTGAGAAGCAAAACACAAATATATCAAAAACACAGTAATCCGAAGTCATTCAATGGACAAAGAATACTATCAACACCAATAAGCCATTCATAATGATGACCTTAAGGCAGTAAGAAAATGCAAATCATCTGGCATATTGTTTCTTAAATTATACAGGGTATACTTCTTACAGTAAGGAAATAATTTTTAAGAAAAATTTCCATTCCAAATTTAATTTTAAGTTATTATCTATACGGGTAAATCTAGCTAATTAACAACCTGTCATTTCCTAAGACTTCAATTACTTACCTAAGTGAAACATTCCTGAGAAAGTTAAAGAAGTATCTTAATACATCAATTGTGTGGTCAGCCATAAGACAGGAGAGTAACAATGTAGCTTTATTCTTCTCCTCTGTTCCTAACTGTTGAGCTTTGAAGAGTGCTTCATGCAAATCAGCTGGAAGGATGGGCTCTGGCAATTCCCTAAAAAACTGCTTAAGAAGTCCTGCAACATCACAAGGAGGTGCAGAAGATAGGCAACTTTCACCATGATCCAGTTTATTCTGAAATAAATATAACAATCTTGAGCATTTGAGGGCTTAAGAGTTTACTGCAAATAAGCTACCCTTTTCTGTACTCTAGAGAGCTTTAATAAATTTTTCTTAACTCTTGTTTTAATATACCTCATGCCATTTTAAAAGGCTAAAAACAAAAACAAAAAACATTTCTTCATTTCCTATAGTACTTTATAGGAACAAAGGACCACAAATTTGAAAGTACTCTAAACTTTTAAAGCATTATATAGATTGTGGCAATCATTTCACAATATATACATATATTAAAACATCAAATTATACAGTATTTGTCAATTATCTCTCAAAACTGAAAAAAAAAGCATTAAATAATGCATAATTCTTTTTTTTCTTTTGAGAGAGAGAGTGAGAGAGCGAGTGCACGTTCGGGCATGGTGGGGGGGCGGACAGGGAGAGGGAGAGAGAATCTTAAGCAGGCTCCACAGCCAGCATGGGGCTGGATGTGGGGCTGGATGCAGGGATGGATCTCGTGACCCTGAGATCATAACCTGAGCCGAAATCAAGAGTCAGACACTTGGGGCGCCTGGGTGGTTCAGTCAGTTAAGCTTCTGCCTTTGGCTCAGGTCATGATCCTTGGGTCCTGGGATCGAGCCCCACATCGGGCTCCCTGCTCAGTGGGGAGCCTGCTTCTCCTTCCCCCTCTGCAGCTCCCCCTGCTTGTGCTTCCTTGCTCTGTCAAATAAATAAATAAATACATCATTTAAAAAAAAAAGAACCACCAGGGGAACCCCTGTATAATTCCTTTTAGAAAAAAAGGTACTTCTGCCACGGAAAAGGCTACTTGCAAATTCAGTTTCTGTTAATTCATGCAATAGTTTAAATATTTCAATTCTAAAAACCAAATAAAAAAGTAGTACAAATGAAAAATTATAGTTCAAGAATATGCTTACCTTTAGGGCTCTTAGACGAATAACAGATCCTGATTTCCTAAAAAGCCCTTCTGTATGAATATGCTCTTCTAGAGATGTGCAAGCATCAACAAGAAAACTGAAAGAGAGAAATCTTTTCAGGTGGCCAGATGCACATCTTACTAAATCCTATTCTTCTACCAAAGTACAGGGACCAAGCACTAACCCCCCTTCAGAAGCTCTGATATCACAAATCTCTTCAGTCTTTGTGATAAAAGGTTAATTCTAGTTGTTTTTCTTGCTTCCTAAATTCTTCTGTCCGGCTCATCTTTTCATCCATGACAATTTCAATGACCTTGCTTTAATCCAACATCCTTCTCAATCCTACTTCATTTCTCTGCTTCCACTCAGAGCACAAGATGTGTCATTTTTACTGCCTCCACTTTGTATTCCAGTCTCTCCTCAACCCTTTCCAATCAGACCTGCACCCCTATTACTACAACAAAACAGTTCTCATCTTAAATATCATGTCGATATTTAAGTAGATATTAAGGTCATCAATCCATGGCCAATTGCCTTCATTTCGCTTGTCCTGCCAGCATCTGAGCAGCATTCCCTGCTTTTCTTGAAAATATTCTTTTTCATGACACTTCCTGCTGTCCCCCTAACTATTCCTTCTCAAACTCCTTTTCTGGCTCCCCTTTTTCTGTCAGACCTCTACATGTTAGTATGACCCCAGGCCCTAAGACCTTCTTCTTTTCTTTTCTCTTTTTAAGATTTTACTTATTTATTTGACAGAGAGAGAGAGAGAGAGAGAGTGCTCGCACAAGCAGGGGGAGCGGCAGGCAGAGGGAAAGGGAGAGGGAGAAGCAGGCTCCCGCTGAGCAAGGAGTCAGATGTAGAGCTTGATCCCAGGACCCTGGGATCATGACCTGAGCTGAAGGCAGATGCTTAACCAACTGAGCCACCCAGGCACCCCCATAGCTTTAAATATCTACCATCTGTTACATTTGCCCAAAAATAAAGCATTGTGCTTTTCTCACTCTAACACTGCCTCCCAGAAAAGTCAGATATATCCTAATCCTTACAATCCTTCTCATACTTAGAGGTGTGTGCTTAATTTCTTTATACTGAACAACTTTTAACCATCAATGTTGGCTTTAGTAGTTAACAACTGATACCACAAATTAGAATGGATGTCAGCAGCAAGCAATTGATAGCATTGTGCTGGCGCACAATGGCTGAATGTTACAGGAGTAACTGACAGAATTTAATGTTTGTTTAAAACAGGCAAAGAAATTACAACAAAGATTTAGTCATCTTTACTGCAGATATAACTTTGCAATTCTAAAGGTAGAAAATCATTATAAACAAACCTTTCATAGGTCATTTGAAAAGCAAAATAGTAAGTGCTTACCTTATGGAGATTGTGAATCAACATCTATATGCTGAATGAGGGAAAACTGTTCTAAGGTTGCAAGGTATTCAATAAATGCTTTTGAACAATGCATCAGTTAAAAACCTAGGTTACTGAACTAGAGTAGCCAGAATGAACCCTACTTTGGATAGAGGGGAAATGAATTAGTAACAGGTAAGATAGTTTCTTTGCATGCTTCTTTGAACTATTTAAGATGTAAACTTCTCTGCTAATTTCTGATGCTGTTAGTCCAAAAGGTTACTTTTAAATAGTAAGTGACACAGTAAAGCTCGAGTGTTAAGATAATTTATATTTACAAATACTTTATTTAATCTTAGCTTAAATGGTCTTTTATCCACAAAGGAAAAAGAGGGTGGGGGGGGGGGGACAACAGACTCTTAACTAGAGAAAAAACTGCTAGTTCAAAACAAATGTGTAAGTCAATCAGCTATTTTTTAATTTATTCTTTTTAAAGATTTTATTTATTTATTAGAGATTGCCTGAGCATGAGCAAGCAGGGGGAGGGGCAGAGGGAGAGAGACAAGCAGACTATCCGCTGAGCAGGGAGCCCGAAGTGGGAATCCGTCCCAGGACCCGAGATCATGACTTGAGCAAAAGTCAGACACGTAACCAATTAAGCCACCCAGGTGCCTCTCAACTATTTATTTTTAAACAGCCCAGACACTGGTTTGAAATATTTTTCTTCATCCCAAACTTAGCTTACCTTGGAATGTGTCCATATTCTGGTACAACAGAATGGGGCAATGCACTAAAAGGTACTCCAAATATTTTACCCTAAAATTGCAAATTCAATTATTCCAACACAAATATTAGGCATAATGTAAGTTTTCTTAAGTATTAAGCAAATTAAAAACCTTAGGAAATAAAAAAAATAGAAATAATCAGGACAACGAAAATAATTATTACAAGTAACCTTGGTTAAAAAGTAACTACTATATGCTAAACATTCCTTTAGGTACTGGGAGCACAAAAATGGCCAAGATAAAGTTATTGTGGGTGGGGGGGATGGGTGAGAAAGGTGAAGGGGATTAAGACTACACTTACCATGATGAGCACTGAGTAATGTACAGAATTGCTGAATCACTATACTGTATATCTGAAACTAATGTAACACTGCATATTAATTGTACTGGAATTAAATAAAGTCATTGCCCTAAAGCAATGTAACACATTCCATCAGTTTCCAATTCCATAATAAAAATCAATCCAGGGGCGCCTGGGTGGCTCAGTTGGTTAAGCGACTGCCTTCGGCTCAGGTCATGATCCTGGAGTCCCGGGATCGAGTCCCACATCGGGCTCCCTGCTCAGCAGGGAGTCTGCTTCTCCCTCTGACCCTCTTCCCGCTCGTGCTTTCTGTCTCTCATTCTCTCTCTCTCTCAAATAAATAAATAAAATCTTTAAAAAAAAAAAATCAATCCAGTTAGTGCTTAGTCAGGAAATTCTTAAAAAAAATTTGGCCAAAACACTAACATTTTCTAAAAATACTATGTTTCTTTCAGTAACCTTATAAACATTGACCTTATACTTTCCTTCTGTCACCTTATAAATACTAACGTGAACAAAAGGCTAAGTTGATTGGTAATGCCATTCATTGAGTACTTCCTAAAATTACACTGAAGTGGTTTTTAGACCTGATCTTCTTTTCCACACTCTGGAAAACTGTTATTCAAACTATGTTCTGAGGTAACCAAGGCAGGGATTCCGCAAACATTTAATTCAAATTTCTTTAACTACTTTGAAATATATTTTTAAAAGGTGATATTCAAATGTATTTCTCATACTCAAATTTAATACAATGAAAATCCCAAGAGTAAATCTGTATGTTACACACTTCTTTTAAGATTTTTTTTTTTTTTTTTTTATGTATTTGAGACAGAGAGAATGAGAGAGAGAGCACATGAGAGGGGGGAGGGTCAGAGGGAGAAGCAGACTCTCCGCCAAGCAGGGAGCCCGATGCGGGACTCGATCCAGGGACTCCTGGATCATGACCTGAGCCGAAGGCAGTCGCCCAACCAACTGAGCCACCCAGGCGCCCTGTTACATACTTCTTAATAAAGAATCTGCCACTATCTTTGTGCATGCATTCCAACTTCTTAAAAACATGTCACTGATTAAGAAGGTTGTAGTTTTGCACTGGACTTAAACACAAGCCTATATACATACATACATATATGTATGTGTGTGTGGGGGGGGGTGTCAGTATATATATATATATCTGCTTATGTAAAATTAAATAAGTGGGTATACCTAATCTCATAAACATTAATTTAGCTTAAATGCATCTGCTCTCTATGAATGCTCTTGAAGCACTTGTTAAGAAATCATTCACACTGTTAATTATTCAACAGAGTAACAAAATCTTAGTAGTCCTTTTCAAGCATCTGGCTCCATTTAATTGATGAATATAGAAGACAGTACAGTATAGTGCTTAAGGTAGCAGGCTCCTAGTGGCAGGGCTGCCAGGTTTTAAATCCTGGCTCTTCTACTTATTAGCTGAATGACCTTGATCAAATTAATTCTTTATGCCTCAGCACCTTCACATAGGTCTAAGTCACAGAGTTGTAGAGAAAATTAAATAAATTAAAAGATGTAAAGCATTTATATTAGTTTCTGACATAGAGTAAGCATTCAAAGAATATTTGTTGCTGTTATGACTACCATTTCAAGGTGAGCTGTTAAAAAAATGTGTTAGTGTGGGAAACCCCCTTTTTTGGTAAATCAGAATTTTCTTGATATTGTACAACCAAACAAAATGCAAAAATCAGATGCTGAAGCTGATTATAAGTCTACAGAGGTCTTACATACCTAGAACTCAGGGGTTTTTCCTCAAGTGTATTATTCTCAATAATGGCCTCACAATAACATAATTTCATAAAATAAAACTAATAACATGCTTTTAAAATTTTATGTACTGGAATATCACGTTATCGTCAAAAGATTTCTAGCACTGTTCTTTAAAAACTCAAAACTATTATTAGCTAACAAACACCAAAGAGCCAAAGAAATCTAGTTTTCAAATAAAGTTACTTATCCTGTTCCCATTCTCATAACACAAAGATCTTCTGTATTTATTAGAGTATTTCTATTATGATTTCTAGCCTGACTACCAATTAGGATGTCAACCATTGATTACCATAAGTGACATGTGACAGGTACTGTGCTAGTCCTATCTACAGATCTTATCATTTTTAAATCCCCTAAATAACCCAAGGAGAGATACCATTATTCTCACTTTATAGAGTAGGAAACTGAAGCGTAGGAAAATTAAACAGTCCAAGATCACACATCTATAGTAGGAGTAAAGCAGGATTCAAACTCAGGTCTGTCTGACTCTAAAAGTAGGTATCAGTTTTTTTTAAAGATTCTGTTTATTTGAGAGAAAGAGAGAGAGTGAGAGAGAGCCTGAGCAGGGGTTGGGGAGGGGGAGAGGGAGAAGCAGGCTCCCCGCTGAGCAGGGAGTGTGACTTGGGGCTTGATCCCAGGACTCTGGGATCATGACCTGAGCCAAAAAGGCAGAGGTTTAACTGACTGAGCCACCCAGGTGCCCCAGTAACGATTTTCTTAAGGGGTGAAAAAAAAATCCAGATTCAAATTATTTCATACACTTACAAAACCAACTATATTTGAGATCTTGGAAAACCAGTTTTTGCATCAGAAGAAATCACTCTAGTTTTTAAATATAAACATATACGTTGCCATTAAGCTGCAAACAACAAAAACTATTTTCTCCAGAATGTATAAGGTATTAAGAGGTATACAAATTAATTTTGTTAGTAGCTTATTTATCCAAATACTTATTTTCTTTCACAAATTATAAATTAAGAGCTATGTATTTTATTAGTTTTCATCTCTAAATACATAAAAATACCATAGAATTAGGCAAATAAATTTAAAATAAAACGTTTTATATTCAGTTTACTGTATTTTTCACAATGAAATTCTTGAGGACGCAGTAGATAATAAAATTTCATTCAAAATCCCCTTACTTCGACCACCCTCAGATCGTCAACAGCTTTTTAATTATTCCACTCTGCCGTCTTAATTTACTCACTTTAAAAAAATAGCTTTATATCTCAAAAATAACCAAGCGGCAAGCTTGTTTTTTTCAAATTAGTGAACACAGAGGTATTATCTGAAGCCTATTTCTAATGCTCGTTCACACTTTATCTACTGACTCATTTAGAAAATTTACTGATCCCCCTTGTCCCTTTACAAATTTTATTCTAAAACTGGTGGTGGTGGGTAGTGTCTGCCTCCCTTCCCACATGCTACTTGCTCAAAATACAATAAATTGATAATATCTGGAGATATTTTTAATTGTCAAAACTGGGAAATGCTACTGGCATCTAGTGGGTAGAAGCCAAAGATGCTGCTAGACATCCTACAATGCACAGGACAGCCCCCACGTCCCACCTCAAAGAATTATCTAGTTCAAAATATCAACGTCGTGAGGTTGAAAACCCTGCAACTTTCTCAGTGATCAAAAATCCCTGTAAAGAATCAACAATGTCATTCTTTAAATTTCAGCAGTCGACCATCTGGATCGAATTAGTCACGCTTAGCCACATTCTCTTTGGGATCCACACATAATGAACATTTTAGCATGAACTGTAACAAGTGACGGTACAGGGTGGGCTCTTTTTTTTTTTAAAACCCAAACCTCTTTCCCCAGAACTTACCACTATTTCCGTGGTTGCTGTTTCATGTCTCCTGCGATCGCACTGCCCACGGCCACTCTTGACCTTAATGCCATAGACCGCCCGAAGCTGCTGCAACAAGGCCAACCTTACCAGCCTCCGATCCCACATCCCGGACACGTCGCCCACTCTCCGAGGCAGGATCTGCGTCCTGACCCTCGTCCGCCACCAGGTCTTCCAATTTCCAAACACTCTGAGGTTTGCACTCTGCTCCGCTGCCTTCTGGCCAAGTCTGGCACTTTTCCGGCTCCGGACCCCAGCCACTTCCACGGCTTTTCCCTTGGTCCTCTAGCCACTTCCACTGACCTTCTCCTACTTCCCTCTGATCTAGCCACACCTCACCTTTCTCTCACTTACACCGACCTTCTTTCTCGTCACCTGATCCTTTCAGCTACTTACACAGACCTCCCTTCTTTCTCCCGGATTCTTTCGGTTCCGTGTACAGACGCCTGTTACCAGCTTCTCACCACCACTTCCGGCCACTTCCTAAGATCCCGTTTCCTCCAAACCTCACTTCGCCCTCGTACCTTCCCAACGGTAAAGACCCTTCTCCTTGGCCCTCCTGCCCCGGCAGGCTCAGCCGGGCGTTCGTCTCTCAAGTCCTGGTGCCCCCAGCCCTAGCCCAGCCGCCGGACCAGCCGGCTGCTCAGGCGCCTTTTCCAGTCCCGGTCCCCGCCCGGGCTGGTCGCCGCCGTCACCCCGTTTCACAGGCTGCTCCTTCCCTCCCCCAGCAGCCAGCCTGCGGCCCCCGGCCTGCACATCTCGGTGTGCTCACTGAAGCGACGCAGCTCTCCTCATGCCTCCGCCTCCACCGTCTCACCAGCCCTGGAGCCGCGACCGTCCCAGCCTCACTTCCAGCCCAGGCTCAAATGGCAGCGCCAAACAGCGCTCCGCGCTCTGATTGGCCCGCTTGTCTTTTCAAAATCAGGACCTCAGAGAGTGGCCAGGAGCTGCCTGTCTAGTGAGACCAGGGCAAAGGGGGCGCTCACGAAGGGCGTGGTGGGCAAAACTAAGAAATATGAAAAAAAAAAAAAGGTTAAGCTCCACTTGCTCCTTCATAGCCATATTTTTGGAGGAAAATACTTCTTAGAGAGTATTTTAATACACCTGGCCTGCAACTGAGACAATACGTTCGGGGAAATGTAATAGACACCCCATTCTCATTTTTCAGCACTTGGTGGAGGCTGAAGGCCCCCTAACGGAGAAACCGGTTCTACGGAACCCGAGGTGAGACAACCTGAGTCAGGGTTCATAAACGCTGATTTTGGTAGCCCTAAAGCAGGATTTTTGGAGGTTACTTCGGCTATAGAAACCGGTCCGTATTTGGGGAACTGATAGTGACGCTCAAATCTTAGCGCATAGGGAGTTAAATATTCAAAGAAGACCTGTTATGGGAGACTTGAGTGCGGGAGGACTGCGAAGTCCGCGGGAGGCGACAGCTGCAGAAGCTGCACTTACTGGGATTTGGAGTGAGGAGCTTGGCTCCATGCCCACACCGTTGCTAAATTGTTGGTGATCCTGTTGATAAACAGAACGGAACATCCCTAACGCTTGTGCCTGGGCTGCTTTTCCATTCTCAAACAGCAGCGGTCCCATCAGGATGTTGTCTTTTTTTCTGGGATGTAATTCATTTAGGGCAGGAGACTTGGACTCAATTTAAATAAAGGCAACAGAGCGAACATTTACTATCACTCCGCCTCACTCGCATGTAGACTCGGTGAGAGTAGCGACAGAACTTTACCTGCCTTACCCACTGTTCCTATCGCCTATCAGTATTTGTCAAATGAACGAATTTAAGTAGGGAACGTTTTCTTGGAATCATTTTGCCCCTTTTGGAGTTCAGTCCTTAGATATTCTACCTTTGCCAATCTAAAGAAGATTCTTTGAAGAAACGGGAGCAAAATGGAAGTGAAGCGTTTTGCTGTGTTGTAACAACTATTTATTGAGCGCCTACTATGCAAAATGGCATAAGATGAAGAGCAAAGCCAGACAGATTGGGGGAGGAGGGGAGGAGAATATTAAACAATTATATTAATGGGGGGGCATAATTATCAACTGAGAGAAGTATAGGAAGGCAGGGAATACTATTCTATGATAGGGTATAATAAAAGGTCCTTGATGCGCGGAGGGTCAACATACCAATGATTAATCTGAAGAATCAGTAGAAATTGGTAAAAAGTGAAGGTGGGATGGTGGAATGGGACCAGCATTCAGGAGACAAAAGCACTGCAGAAAAGCCATCGATTTTTAACAGGAACCAGTGCATCAGAAACTAAACTGAACCCACTCCTACTCGTTTCTTTTTGCTTCAGAAATAACTTTTAAAAATTACTTAACGTTAAAAAAATTACTTATGTTGTCTTTAGCCTCCTCCCTCCCCCAAATTTCACATTGTTTTGGATTTTAGATGTCTCATATTTCCTTTTCTTAAAGACGTGACACTGCTCTTGAACATTAAGTGCCTTTTCTGTGTCATAATCCTTTTTTCAAAGCTGGGCCCTTTGATTTTGTTTCTTTTGTCTCCTTCCTTTTAAGGTGAAATTATTGGTTCTTAATGATGTTAATATAATTACTTATGTGCCTTATCCATGTATACGTAAATACACACACATATATATAAAACAGAGTAATACTAACAATAAGCTAAATAAGATTGCTGAGTGAAGTTTAGTGTGTTTCTTTTTGTCCTCATGCTGTGTCCCATTAGGGATGTACTAACAAAGTACCTTGTTTTTTTGTTTTGTTTTGTTTTAAGATTTTATTTATTTATTTGACAGAGAGAGAGAGAGAGACAGCGAGAGTAGGGGGGAGTGGGAGAGGGAGAAGCAGCAGGGGGAGTGGGAGAGGGAGAAGCACGCTTCCTGCAGAGCAGGGAGCCCAGTGTGGGACTCCATCCCAGGACCTGGGATCATGACCTGAGCCGAAGGCAGATGCTTAACGACCAAGCCACCCAGGCACCCCCAAAGTACTGTGTTTTAAATGAACTGGACGTAATTCTTCTCTTTGGTTATATGTAGATGTTTATTCAACCAGGCCTCTATGGATTGCTACATGGGATATTTCCAGTCTTTTGCTATTACAAAACGTTCCCTGTGCATGATACAACATGCTTTTGCTAATGGCTCATTAGCATAGAGTCCTGCAAATGGGATTGCTAGGCAAAAGAACATGTTATTTTGTTTAATATTGCCAAATTCACCTTCATAGGGGTTGCATGGTTTTGTATTCACACTTGCAATGTAAGAGAGTCCCTGTTTCCCCACAGCCTCTCCACAGAGTGGATTTTTGCTAATTTGATAGGTGGCAAATGGTATCTGATTACAGTTTTGCATTTATCTTTTTATAAGTGAGGTGGAGCATCTTTTCAAATGACATGTGCATATAATGAAGTATGATGAGTCTTAAGGAATGTGGGAGATACACAGCTATGAAATGAAGTGGAACAAGCTAGGCCCCAAAGAAGGTGTCTAGTATGCTACTTTTTGTGTGTGGGGGGGGGGGCTTAGAAATACATACACAAAGAGACACTTGTTTATATTTTCAAAGTAAATATAATAGGTAAACCAAAATCTAATAAAAATTGTAACCAATAGAGGGAGAGCAAGGCCTATTTTCTATCCGATGATCTTTAAAAAATTTTAGAAACATTTTACATATTAGCCCAATGTGAAATACATTGAACTCTTCTAATGGCTTTTATTGACCTTTTTGCTTTGCATTTTAGTTTAAACTGTAATCATTCTCTTCCCTTAATGCTCCATGTTCTGAGTCATAGGTAGAAATGTTTACCCAACTCTCAGGTTATAAAGGATTTCACTCATTTTATTTTTTTAGTACTGGTATGGTTTTCTTTCTTAAAAAAAAGTATTGATATCTCTAATCCATTTGGGATTTATCCAGTGTAGAATAAAGAATGGAATTTACTCTTTTTCCATATGGCTACCCAACCATAGAAATTTTTATTTTATCTTACTTCAGCAAACTGCCACACCTACCTCCAAAAGTAGCAAAACACTACTGCTGAAAGCCCCATAGAGTACAGATGGTCCCCAACTTACGACTGTTCAACTTAAATTTTTTTATTTTATGATGATATGAAAGGCATATGCATTTGATAGAAATCATTCTTCGAATTTTGAATTTTGATCTCTCCTGGGGCTAGCACTACGCAGGGAGATATTCTCTCCTGATGCTGGGCAGTGGTAGCAAGCTGCAGCCATCAGCCACGCTGTGATGAGCGTAAACAACCCATACACCTACTACCATTCTGTACTCATACAACCATTCTGTTTTTCACTTTCAGGACAATATTCAATAAATTACATGAGATATTTAACACTTTATTATAAAATAGGCTTTGTGTTCGATGATTTTGCCCAACCGTAGGCTAACATAAGGGCTCTGGGCATGGTTAAGGTAGGCTAAGCTATGATGTTCGGTAGGTTAGGTGTATTAAATGCATTTTTGACTTAATATTTTTAACTGATGAGTTTATTCTAATGTAACCTCATTGTAAGTTGAAGAAAATCTGTACATTGACTGGATCAAGGGATATCATCTTTATTGAAACATTAGACTTTGGTTTTAGTTAGTGGCACACACCATTTTCTTTATCCAGTACCTCATTTAGCTCTCTTTTCTGTGAAGTCAATCAAATGTCTGTTAAACTGCCTCCCTGAAACTTCTTCCTATATCCTTGCTTCGAAAAAGGTGACTTGTGTAGCTTTTCAAATCAGATGCAGAGCTTTTCTCTGTAAAGCCAAAATGGTTGTCCTTGAAATCACTGCCTCTGAGGCCTGACACATGGCACAGGCACATGACTCAGTTATTAATAAAACAGAACCATTTGAGGAAACATCTGTCTTAAATTTGGACTTGACCTAGGTGGAAAATAATAACAATGATTTCCTCAGGTCACTGGAGCTCTCACCAGGATAGTGGACACTGGTGCTTCACCTAGATTCCCCTGTAGAGCTGAGGTCCTTGCTCCCCTACTTGCAAGAGTGTTAGCCACTGACGGCTCATAGCCCAACTCTGAAATGACTGACAGAAAATGTCAAACAGAATAATAGCTTTCCGAGACTATATAAGTGTTCTGGAGCAAGAAATAT